CTTAGGGGTAGATTGATTGAGTAATTATATTGTTAGATTAAGTGATATTTAGTGGAATGTGTAGTTCCTCTCTTCATTCTTATTAGTGAAATTTAGTTTCTGTATCTGATTATTTAGTCTAGAACGACTCCATGCTCACCTTTAAATCTCGAGGTATTTATTTTATCAAATTGGAGGTTTGATCAACAAATGTTGATCTTTACACTTGCATAGTTTTTCTGTAGTAACCTATAATAACTAAAGATGGTCTCCCCATTACCATAAGGTTAACGCGGCTTTATGGATAATACATAGACATTTAACCTTTTACAATGTAATCTAAGTTCCACACAACCTTGAAGATAGAATAACCCTATCAGCCAAAATGACCCACAGAAGAATTGCACAACAGACATGATTAAGACATTTTCCGAAAAGTTTAGGATTTAGCATGTGTTCCAAGTGCATGGGATTTAGTTACGCAACTCTTCGTAGTATAGTTGCGCAAAAAATAAGAATGTGAAGTTTCAGTATGAAGAACATTTATTAGGTGGAATTGCGTGCTTAAGAGGCATAATAGAAGTTTACTTACCACCCATTCCTTTTTATCAGCATCATAAGTTTCCCCACTGTTGGGATAAATATAAATTGGCTATTATCGCGTCGTGCAGCAATGCACAAATTAATAACCAAAGATTGTATAAGCCAATAAAATATTATGCTGCCAGGCTTAAATCGCAATGATTGCCCGAACCAAGGTCAATAGCATTGTTTGCAGCCGCTTACTATGGGCCATTCTATTTTATTAGAGCCGTGAGAGGCAGCTCCAAATACGCATCTGTAAGGCAATAAGGCCCAGGTTCTTAATTATACCCAACAGAAATTCATTGAAAGAAGGATCAGCTCTTCTCAATATTACATCAATAAAGCACCGATGATAAAATTCACCAAGCGTGCATGGTGTGTCTGGGTCATGTGTGTGCATGTACACACACAACCTCCAGTACACACAATTTCCGATGTACACACCCTACACACGCATGCACACACGTGGATATCATAGACCGTGGTGTTGGATGTAGCCATCAATCTTTTGAAGTAATACTGTCATTTGAGGAACTAAATTCACAACAGAGAAAGAAACATACAAAATGAAGTTGAAAAAAGAACGGTAGGCCAATGTTAATACGAGCGGTAACAAGGACAACATTATCTATTGGTAAAATAGCTTAGAGAAGAAACATTATCTATTGAAAAACTGTAACAAACTTGAGAGCTTGATTGGAATGAATTGATTTTTTTATGATTGGAATTATTCGCTATTTGTACAAATTATCTTTTTGTACAAATTGTTGATCTATATAGAATAAAGGATTCTTACCGGTTGATTTTTTTTTAATTTTTTTAGACTCGAAGGTTTTGTTGAGGGGAAATAAACCTAATGTTAAATGATTCTTCCCAAGTGGTTCTTATAGATTGATGTTATCCAATTACAATTCATTATATTTTATTTACTAATTGGTTGTTACAGTTTGTATATTCAGTTACTAAGTAGCTATGTGAGTTACTAATTGAGAGATAACTGTTGGAATTGTATCTAAGTCTTTTTCTGAAATCTGTAATAATATTAGTAGTTCTTCTAGCTTTTTAGGAACTATGAAATGCTACTTCTCACGTAAATGTTGCCATAGTAATTCAAAATTTGTGTTATAAATCAGTATAATTGTGAAGACTGTAATGTGAATATAATTTGCCATTCTTTCTCTTATTTACTATAAGAATTGTATTAACTATTCTCTGTAAGAATTTTCAAAGTATGTCTTTTATAGTAATCAGTCTTTTATTTTCAGATTTGTTGATTGACCTTCATAAATTGCTCACAATTTTCTATCTCAAGATTTCCTCTTTGAAAAGAAGAAAACTACAGGTACTTTTTCTGATTTTATTTTGTTAGGGTTTTATGCATAAAAAGTACTTTTTTTAAGTTAGTTTCTAGATGAATTGATTGAAATATAAATCATGGTGATGAATTTGGTCTAAATTCTAATTTTTTGCGCCTTAGATTGTTGGATTTTAGATTATTTAGTTACTTCTTTTAGCATGGTGAAGATGCTAATTTCTATTTATAATGATTAAATTTGATTTAGCTAATGCTTAAGTAAGTGCCTAAATCTGATCATATCCCCAACCTTACTGTTTTAAACTGTTTGATTTAGGTAATTTTTTTTGATTTTAATGAAGATTGTTCGTTACTAAGTTTTATGGGTTTTGTTTTGTTTGTGGGTTAGGCGATTGGAGATTGATTATGTCAGAGATGATGATGGATGGATTGAATCGGAGCGGTCACATCTGGTTCAATCACAGTTATGAAACAGAATTTTAAATTTCACTTTTTTTAATTTTAGTTAACTTTTAAATAAAATATTTTCAACTCTTTAATGCACTGAAAGGATTGACGCTTTTATTGTGCTATTTTAGTTTAGTTTTGAGTAGTTTTTGATCTTTAGATATTTGGTAATATGCTAGGGATGGTATAAACCACCATGAAGAATAAAAGCTAAAGTTTCTAAGTTTCGTCAATGATTGGTTTGTCACTCAAGTGATCTGACTCATGAATATATGTTATATTTAATTTTTGTTGCTGCTATCGTTTTACTAGCCATTATGTGTGAGTTGTTTGGAGTAGTATTATTATATTTACACATAACAATATTGTTGGTCATCTATTTTCAATGTAACACATTTGAATTCTTTCATAGTTGTGCTGGCTGTAGATCAGTTGTAGTAAAAATAAAATTGTGAGATCAACAACATTAGGAATTGGTGACTTAATTAGCATGTAAAAGCACATATTGCTCGTATCCATTATCTCACGAATTTTAATCAATTTATTACTTATATTGAAACCTCAAATAATGTTTTTTTGTTATTTTTCGAAGGGTGTTCCCTTCAACAATTGGTGTATAATTGAACCCTTTTATTCATTCTATTTTACCCTTTTAAAACTAAGAGGATGGGTGTTCCAAGTGCAATGGTAAAAAAGAGGCGAGGGTCGTGCTTGGCACGAGGTACATACTAGTGATATTTGAAACAGAAAAAACTGAAACATCTCCTCCTGAAAAAAATAAAGAATTTCACATAGACCAAAATTTAACAGAACGCCCCATAAAGAAGCACAAGAAAACTCTGTCCTCTCAATCTTCTGCCTCATGCTCCATAGTTTCAAATTTCCTGTAACAAAACATTACAGTTGATTTTTTTTAATTGGATAGGATCTAATTAACTTGTGACGCGGTGATCTCTCAAAAGTAGTGATCAATATCGAATAAACCCAACTTAAAAAACTAGTACTTACATGGTAAACCATGATTCTGGCGACCCAAGCGTGTTCAAGATTCCTTGGACCAATTCTTCAAAGGGTTGTCTTATGTTAATCATCTGCTCGGCCGAGGTGTGATAATAGCAAGGCAGAATTCCGATACATTCATCAAACGCGATCGCACGTCCGTCGAGGGTATCGATATTGTCATCCGCTTTAGTACCGACTAGCAAAATGATGACACGAGTATTCCTTGTGTGAAATTTTCCGATCTCTACCTCTAACCATCCGAAAGGCTTGTCCTCCAATGGATCAAACAGCAGAGGAACTCCTTTTTCCAACTGAAAACATTTTAAAACTCACATTATAACAAATTAAATGAACTAACACTTCAAGGACCTAATGAATTAATGTATCAAGAACCCCATGAGGAGGGCTTGGTCTTCATACACTCTCCATACATAAAAGCACTCACCGAACGCAATTCAAAATTTCACATCATAAGCGAAAACACAAATATTATCCAAGAAACTGAAGCCTGTAATTTCTCAAGAAGCCCATATGGGTTTTCATACAATCTCGTGATCACATGAAAGTAAACAATATTTTCACAGTTCATGCTCCAAAAACTCAAAATTCAAAAAGCCCACACATAAAATATGACCCAAATTATACACAAACAAGAAATTTTCATATGGGTTTTCATACAGTCTCTAGATCACATAAATGTAAACATTATTTTCACAGTTCATGTTCGAACAACTCAAAACTCAAGAAAACCGCACATGAAGTATGACCTAAATTAATTATACACAAACAAGAAATTTTAACATGGGTTTTCATACAGTCTTTAGATCACATAAAAGTAAACAGTATTCAAAGTTTATGTTCCAAAAACACAAAATTCAAGAAGTCCATAAATAAAAGATATGATCCAATTAAATTTAGACTTACCGCCAAGCCACTGCTGTACCCATCCCATATGTTCAATGAAACACCAACCCCATCCAACTGCGTCAGACAATAGAATATAATTCGATAAACCAATATATAAAAGGGAATGGAAATCAAAATTAGGAAGTTAAATTAATTTAAAGAACATTGATTAAACTCACCTCAAAATTAACTCGAGTTGAGAGATGACCTCGATGGGGCTTAGAGCTAGGGAATTTGGCCCCCACGAGGTGACAAAATATACGAATCAACACTGTCTTCCTAACGCCACGTGGGCCAATGACGGAGATGTCGATCGTCATTCTTCTTGATTTTCGATTCTTTGGGGGAGGAGTCTGGTGCTCGTAATCTTCTGCCTCCTGCTCCCGAGTTTCAAATTTCTCGTAAAAAACAATACAATTAATTTTTTTAATCGGACAGGATCTAATTAACTCATGACGTGGTGATCTCTCAAAAGCAGGGATCAATATTGAATAAACCCAACTTTAAAAATAAGTACTTACATGGTAAACCAAGATTCTGGCGACCCAAACGTGTGCAAGATTCCTCGGACCAATTCTTCAAAGGGTTGTCTTATGTTAATCATCTGCTCAGCCGAGCTGTGATAATTGCAAGGCAGCAGTCCGAGATGTTCAACAAACTCGATCGCACGTCCGCCTATAGTATCAATATTGTCATCGGCTTTAGTACCGACTAGCAAAATGACGACACGAGTATTCCCTGTGCGAATTTTTTCGATATCTGCCTCTAACCATCCGAAAGGCTCGTCCTCCATTGGTTCAAACAGCAGAACTCTTTTTGCCAACCGGAAACAATTTAAAACTCTCATTATAACAAATTAAAGGAATTAACACTTCAAGAACCTAATGAATTAATGTACCAAGAACCCCACGTGGAGGGCTTGGTCTTCATATGCTCTCCATACATAAAAGCACCTACCGAATGCAATTCAAAAGTTCACATCATAAGCTAAAACCCAAATATTATCCAAGAAACTGAAGTCTATAAGTTCTCAAGAAGCCCATATGGGTTTTCATACAATCTCGAGATCACATGAAAGTAAACAATATTTCAAGTTCATGCTCTAAAAACTCAAAATTCAAGAAGCCCACACAAAATATGACCCAAATTATACACAAACAAGAAATTTTCATATGGGTTTTCATACACTCTCTAGATCACATAAAAGTAAACATTATTTTCACAGTGCACGTTTGAACAACTCAAAACTCAAGAAAACCACACATGAAGTATGACCCAAATTAATTATACACAAAC